TAATATTGGACAAGGCTTGTCCCGGTTCAGCTAGATTGTCCGACGGACACATTTTTTTCAGTTTTGATAATTTTGCAGGTAAAATGAATCCGGCTCTAAGAGGTACTTTAACTGCCGGTTGCACGGGGGTGATTAACGTCAAAAGCTTAGTGCACACTGCCGCACTGCCCGTAAGGCGCTCCGGCCACCCCTGGGGTAGGCGAACCCGCCAGACGTCGTGGGATGCTGGACCCATCACGAGTAACTGCTCAGCGTGCAACTAATGACAGTGTCGAAAGCGTTACTTTTACCTTTCAGTGTTGGTGACCGTGCGTAGTCGTTGTTAGCGCCTGCGATCGCCCGGGTAGGCAACGCGGCGGGCAGGTATGCGTGGTGCAGGTCGGCTTGCAGGCGCTCGGCTTGGCCGGGGAGTCACGCCGCCGCGCCGCGTAGGGAGGAGCCGTAGTGTCTGGCGCGATGCAAACCTTTGAAAGCGCTGCTCCTTCTGGGCGATAACCCACCACGCCCTGCCTCCTGCCTCCACCAGGGCGGGGCGGGAGCAATGGAGCATTGCGCCGACAGACGGGCCGCCGCGACGCCTGAGTGCGACAGTTATGTGGCTGGGCCGGCGCGCCCCGACGCTGCCGATGTGTACCCGCTGCGAGTGAGTGAGTACACGCGGCGCAGCGCGCTGCTGGAGAGGTTATCGACCCCCTGGCGCCACCAGGTGTGCGCCGGGGCCGGCAGGGCAGGGGCTCACGGCAGCGAAAAGGCGCTTCCTGGCTTTCCTTTCTTTACATTTTTAAGAGGCGGGCGCTGGCTCGCTGGAGCGACTTTTCGCCAAAGTTAAGGAGAGCCATTAACACGGGCAGCGCCCGGGCCGCGGCTCAGCGTGTTGTACCGGCCGGCAGTCGGCTCAGCCGAGCGGGGCGAAGGTGCGGCGGGCGGGGCAGTGGGTTCGGGTTAAGGTGGAGCGGGGCGTTCCCTGCGGCCAGAGGAGGCAGAGCGCACGCCCGTTTCCCCGGTCCCCGAGCTGCTGCAGCACGGCTGGACGCCGTGATTTAAGCCGACAAAATTACTCATAAGATGAAATTTTTAAACGCAAGCATTTTTTTATGACCGTGCCAGGAGACACCGTAACTAAATGAGGCGCCGGGCGTAAAGCTGCAGGGCCGGATGGGCGGAACTATCTACAGCGCACCGGCTGCAGCGGCCCGTCCCGGCAAGACCTTTGTATAGCTCGCAAAGTGCAGCCGTACTTTCACTAGATAGTCTCTCTGTTCGCTATGACGCGTCGCGCTTGAGGGAATCGCGAGCGTTTTGGACTGCTTTTCATTTACCCACCCCAAGCCGACAAACTCCGACCCTAACCGTAAAGCCGCACCGTTAAACGGCGGCGATGTGGCTCTTTGGCAACGCGGGTGCTCGGCTCGGCTCGGCTCGGCTCGGCTCCGAGGCACAAGGCCAGGATGGTCCCCGCCTAGGGGCTCAGGCGATAGCACCAGCCTTTGCAGCACTTTGATTCCACCTTATGGCTCATAACCGAGCCGTATTACAAGTGACAACCATCGCAGCGCGAAGAGGTGAACGGGGAGGGCGGCTAAGAGGATAGAAGAGAAGCTTCAGGCGACGTGGCGGGGGGTGACGTGAAGGAGAGAGAGAGAGGGAGAGGGAGACTGGGGCACGTCGGACGGGAGTGGGAAGGGAGGGACGGAGGAGCAGAGTGGACGGCAGGGTCCAGTGATTGTTGAAAGTTGAATAGGGCCTTCGTGGCGAAAGTAAAAGGACGCCTCTCCCACCCTCTCTCGCCCCCCTCATTCACATCCCTCCCGTCCCCACCACTCAGCAGCACACAGCCCCGCCGTGTCAAGGGCCCCCGCCAAGGAAAAGATCTTCTCAATGGCCGTGGAGCCTTAAAACGCACCCCTTTTGTTTTGCGGTAACCCCTTTCTCACCCTTTGCCCCCACCCCCCTCTCCACTTGTATGGTGGAGCAGCGGACAGGTCGGTTCCTCTTCGCTGACATGAACATCGTGTTAATGCTGACAGGGCCGGTGCCGCACAACGGTGAGGTCTGGTGGGCGTGCCGCGCGCGGCTGGCGCTGACATCCATCACACACGCCGCTTGCTTTGTGGACCCGACGACTCACTCGTTCGGTTGTCGCCCCCTTATGGGTCCCATCAGGTTTTTTAGCAGATGATACCTTAAATAGCTTTAGACTAAACATAAAACATATATATACGTAGGGCCCCGTGCGTTAACATTGTGCACGGGGTAGCTGAGCGAAGTGCATTAACTTTACAGAAGACATAAAAAATATAGAACAAAACTATACCGAATGAGGGTCCGCCTAGTAGGTAGGCAACCGATCGTCTGCTCCTTG